TAACTTCGTGATCATTGTAATTTCATACGAGAGTCATTCCATATTTACTCATAATTGCCTTTCATTTCTAGAAACTATTAGATTTTCAAGGCAACAAGGTCAGTATATATTTTTAAATATATCCTGACCAATAAGGATAGCTTATTTCTAATAAGTTGTTTACATTTCAAAAGGTGTTATTAGAGATTGACTTTCTTTGGTAAACATTTCATTGACTTAACTAATAGGTTRTTTTAGAATATCGAAATATTTTCCTGTTTTCTGTAAAAGTTCACTTTTGGTGCCATTAGCTTGAWGGAMYTGTCTATCATCCCAAACTAAGATTAGGTCGCATCTATATTTACAAAGCACTTAAATATTAGATTATAACTGCTCTCGTTTATACTTAAATTCGAATAATACTTAATATTTTATAGCAAGGTATATAGGAAAATTTACCTAGTATCCACTCATCAATTTAGAAATGTAAGACTTTACGCTAGAACCAAGAAATATCTTTTTAAAAGTGTTTTTCTGTACTGCGTCATCTTTACGAGGGCGTTGTTAATTAATTCGTGATTATGCCCATATTAGTATTATTACCAATAGGAATTCTGCTTCTAATGTCAAAGCTAAGTAAATAGAAATTTAACTGTAATTTTTGTAGCATAGAAAATACCTTGTAAAATCTAGAGAGAGTCAGTAGTTGAATAAAGTTCAAGAGAGAATCAAAAGATCACGAGAAGTCTATTTTAATTAACAGATGTACAGAGATATATCAGCTGTATCGTCGTATCTGATCTTTTTTTTTATTTTGCATACATCTAATCGCAAACGTTGTTRCAGAGAAATAGAAAGTTTTTACTTTAGTATAAACGAATACAGTATAACTGCCTGAAAGATTTCCCTTTTTACTTCTTAATAAGTGCTCTGTTTCTCAGTCTCCGACAACGTTTTTGTAATGGAATGAATATTCAATTCATCTTTTTTTCAATTCATTCTTTGTGCTTGTATTCTATTACTTCTTTTATACTTTATTCGTATTAACGATGAACAACACATAAGAAATTATGAAATATTCTGCTTGCGTGAATTAAGCGTGAAGTTCAAAGTCGATAATAAACAATTTCCATTTCTTTTTTCCTAGGTAAACGTTTCCTGCTATTCATGAAATAGAAAAAGATAAAAATCATCAGTATGCAAGACGATGAAGGRTCTATAAACRCCTCAAGAAAGCGAGAGGAAAATGTAGAAACAACTGATGGCTCTRTCGAAAGCCTCTCTGAATTCGCAGGAAAYACSTCGCTMCACGGCGTCCGATTTCTAAGTCAACAGAGTACCGTACAAAAACTCTTCTGGSTMTGCTGCATCTTAGCAGCAGCTTCCTACTGYGTGGTCCAGCTKACAGAGTCGGTCCAATTCTTCCTAAAGCGACCTTATGCWACGGTTATAACCACGAAGCAAAARCAAGTCATCGAATTCCCTGCAGTTACAATCTGTAACCTTAACCTTGTGAACACAAGGAAATACTCTGAGCAGATCAARAAGCGCTTTCCTAATGTCACAGATGTGGAGATTCAGTCCGATTTGTTCTACCTATCAGCGTTCTTCASCGCGTTTGCTGARGCWCAGGCTAACCCTGCATCGATCACATCTCCAAGGAACTTCACAGCTCAAGAGCTTGCCAGCGCGGTTAGATTCGGTTCCTTGTTAAATGATCTTAAGAAAATTTCCTACGAAATTGAGGACATATTACTCCCCTCACAAATGCGGCCATGCGTACTAAGCAAGTATAGTTGCAATAAAAAGAACTTTATACCGTATTACATATCCAAGTATGGTACATGCTTCACTTTCAAGCCTCCAGTTGAGAGAGTCAGCGTTATTGGTTGGGCTGCTGGATTGAGAATGAGGTTGAACGTGGAAGTGGACAGCTATTTGAGGAACTCTTTTGAACCGTTTGTTGGGCTTAAAATWCTCGTGCATTCCCCTGATGAGTATCCTTTGGTAGAGGATAAAGGTTTCGTTGTGGCTCCTGGGACACATACATCGTGCAGTGTTCGACGTAAAGAGGTACGTGMGAGGGATGGATAAGTAGTAGCCTCCTCCACAGACATCACTAAGAGTCACGGKCTTCCTGTCTTTTTTTGGTAGCTAGAAGAGGGAGAATGGGARCGAGAGAAAGGAATAGCGGGACTAGTGACGAGAAAGGGGAACCACAAGGAGGAAAAAGAGTCTGGGGAGGAGGCTAGATATAAGTAGTTTAATGAATATCAGGTACCGTATACTCTTGTACATGAGTCTTCGCTGAATATAATTTTACCCTTATTAGGATAAGGATTTGACCCTAATTTTTGGAGTGATAGTAATGGTACTATGCTTTACTTTCGCGCCATGCGTTTTTTATACCACAGGCAACAGTTTACAGAAAGAATATATGGYTCATTAGCGCTTGCAACCCAGCACTGTGCAAGTCACTCCTCAAAACTGAATGACGCCACATGATTTGATTTTTTTTCTTTTTCCTTTTTTTTTAGATTCAAAGTCTTCCTTATCCCTATGAGACAAACTGCGGAGAACAAACAGTTGATCTTCTCAAGGACACCAAGTACAAATACAGTCGCTCAGCTTGCGTTAAGCAATGTCTGCTCAAAGCTATAATACAAACATGCAATTGTACAGTCAACACGCAACTTGAACAGAGTAAGCAACATTGTTATTTTGTACAACGGGCTTTTCATCTCTATCTATGTCATCATCATCATCATTATCATCATCATCAACGTCATCATCACCATCATAATCATCATCATCATTATCATCATTATCATCAACGTCATTATGGCTATCCTTATTGTCATATCCAATCTAGTGCAACATGTGAAATCTCCGCAGTGATCAGTACTGTTTGTATTTATACTTTTTTATTCTCTTTTGTTTTTATCAGATTCTTATCCATTATGTGTTCAACAAAGTAACGCCGTATGCATTTCATCATTATTAGGTAATACTAGATACCAAATATTCATCAATAATTGCGTTGAGGCTGAAGTGACATGGACAATTATGTAGGCTAGTGTAGCTGGTGCCAGTATTCCAACGAAAAGGATAACAGCCTCCGAGTTTTCACCATTATTTKTAGGCCYTATATTCTAGGGAATGCGCGCWCTGATGGCTTGGCGCGCSGTGCGGTTTTWCATCATCTGTCCACTYCGCGATGTCCTAAATTTTATCGAAAAAAAGAATGAAAACAAAGACACTCAGATCCCAGACAGTTTTTTCGTATACGGGACAACATAAATAACATTATAATATAAAAGTATAYCATCAGAAGTCTCAGTGATATTCATTATTGGGTTAATTTTACTTATATTAATTTCAGCTAAACTAGGGACATYGTCCAAATACCTRGCATGCCAAAACAGCTGCCAGGAAGCWTGTCGTTAYAGCGAGTACGAGTACCAWCTGTCAACAAGYCGTTTGAGCGAGAAGACCTTAGTGTTCGACGCCAACGTCTTTTGCCAGAAAGACACACAGAACTCATCACTGTGCAAAGCYATTGGCGCCATGACKGAAGYACAAAAACTCCAGTACTTTAGGTATATCAACTAATCTCTGGAACTCTTCGYCTGAATCTATTCATAAMTCRCCTAGCTTTGGCTCCTTTAAAACTGAACTTAAAACTCACCATAGCGCATAGAACAGACTTATRTTTGCGCTTTATAAATAAATATTATTATTTGTTAATCTCGTCAAAGATGTGATCCTTTGAATTGAATAAATCTTAAATCAATCATTTCTTACAATACGGCATATATTTTTGCAACTGAAATTCTAAAGAGAATGTCAGCAATTTTATGCATTTTTTTCTCATTTTTTTTTTGTGTTTCAGAGACAACGTCCTTTCTATCGATATATTCCTTGAAGACTTYAATTTCCAAGAAATCAAGCAAGTTCCCGTTTACGAGTTGTTYGCTCTTATCAGTAAGTACATTACATGTATTATACATTGATTTAAAAAGWATTGTCTTAAGATTTACTGGAAAGTTAATACTGCATACCAAGACCGAAATGCATGATAGTTGTTGTTCCGACACGTGACTTTTTAACGTGAGGAATCAAACTTTTTCCTTGTGAATTAAAATGCAGTGCTGTCTAGTTCAGGCATTGGCACATTTGGTCGAATGCATGCAAAAAGTGGTGATACAAGCACCACAGAAGCTCCGTCGTCAAAAGGGAGAGTTGATTCATTAAACATAATTGAGAGCTTGCGAACTAGTCACAAACATACTTCTCCTATCCATGTTAGGTGGATTTATTGTGATTCATTCATTACGAACTATATCTTGAAATGCAGCATTCAGTAAATCTTAAGCCGGATTCTTAATAAGCAAAATCATGAGTAAGAATCACCTCAGAAAAAATGGTCGCCATATTGGATTTATCCAACATGGCGGCGATGACGTAATGTGCACATAAAGAATACGAATCGTCCCGATATCGTTTTTGTATTAATCGGCCTCAAAGCTCTTGAGAATCTGAGAATAATACAAAAACGTTTATTAATTTCTAGAATTCATTGCTCAAAATTCTGGAATTCAAGCACTGTATCCGTATTAAGCAACACTATTTGCTGTAAAGTAATGCTAAATTGCCGAGATAAAATAAAATAACATAAAGTAACATAACATAACATAACATTGCCGAGATAAAATAAAATAACATAAAGTAAAATTAAAGGAAATACGAAAGAAATAAAAACAGATAAAGCAAAAAGCAAGAAACAGTAAAAATTAATGATGATTAATCATAAAAAAGCTAATCAAATTGGTAATCAACGAACATCCTACTCGCTTGATCAAGTCCCAAGAAGCCCGAGTATACTCTCTAGTGTGTTCTTATTACTACATAGGTGGTATAGGTGGTAATCTGGGGTTATTTCTGGGTATGAGTCTACTGACAACTGCCGAGTTCCTCGACTACATTGCCAGGTCATTTTGGTTTAAATTGCGACCACCTTGTAGAAAGAGAAGAGTCGTAGAACAGCAGCCCAGCAGCGAGAACAAGCCTGTCGCGTCTGGTGACGTGTTTCAGCCAGAGATTTTTTGCATACATACAAGAACTTAAASTTTATGGATAAACCCTCTTTAACACCTACAGACCGTACAGACAAATATTCACTGGTATCTGCAACCCCTCCACACTCGTTCGTCTTGCTTCGATGGAAAGGCACGGCTACTTTTAAAGATGGCGCAGGGAACCGTGAAGGAGACTATTCGCATAATTTAATTTTTCTAGAGTGAAAACATTGAAACAATAGTCATGCTGTTTCACGTCTCTAGTATTTTGCACTCTCTTTGTGAATATAGTATTTATAGTCTACATTACTGAAACCTCTTCAAACCGAACTCATCGATTTGACGAACTGTATTGCAAGTCTTGGAAAGAGAACTCTATATAGCACCACCTCTATAATCCGAAYGTTTCTATATATCATGACCACCTTTATGTTAGGGGTTTCGTGGTTTYGAAACGTCTGTATTGCATTACTTTATCTATAAAAGGCAAACTCTTCTAAACCACATCCACGCCTCTTTTATAATATGTATTTAATGTCTTCAAAAATATCCACAAGCTAGATATAAATACAGCTCATCAATGAGCGTTTCTCTTGACATTTAGTTCTCCTGCTTTCGTTACCAGATCCTCAATTTATCTGTTTCGGTAGTCGATGTTTTAATTAAATTAACATTTACGACAATGGCAGCGCGATGAAACCGTTAGTAAACAGTTATTAGCTTTCAATTTCTTTTTTTCAAAAACAAAACCCACAAAACAATAGCAGAACAAAACAAACAAAAACTAAACTAAACTAAATGAAAACGTTGAACACTGAATACTGCTATACTTCGATTCATAGCGTATTCTTAGATCGCAATGCATTGTTGGTATTGGATGCGACGTAAGTAGTGTTACAAAATAAAATTGCTAAATAGAGCTCCTAGAAGCTTTTTTACGTCATATACCATATATTCAATTTATTGCACGATATGTGTTGGACAAAACATGGCGGATTTCTTTTGCTTCCTTCTGGTACTGATCCCGCAATGCATTGTTTAGCATATCAAATAAAATTTGAGTACTACAACTCGTATCATTCCTTATTGAACAAAATGGCGTCGCTGCATGCACTGTCAAAGATTAATGCAGCTAGTTTTTAGAAATTGAAACACTGTCGTACACATGATATTCAGTCTGATTATTTTTCTTCTTAGAAGCCTTTTAAATCTCTGATCATATAACTTTTTTTAAATCCGACAACCTTTTTCCAATTAGGCCTTCCAGAAAGTAATTCAACTTAAAAATATGAAATGTTATCTCGCAAAGGATTGTGGTAACGAAWGGATGACGTCATAAGGATCACGGCTCATTTGGTGTGTGAGTTTCGATATTCTTTGCTGGTTCTTCWTCAGTGTGTGGTGGTTCCTTATCCCAGTCTTGTCGTTCTTCGGCCAGAAACCAACAAAATAAAAACGAACCTCCTAACGAGACCAGCGCGTTGACCCAGAAAACTAGCCTCCATTCCTCTAGAGTCTGTAAAGAAGCACATTAAAGATGAAGTTCTAGTTTTCTCAATAGAGAGTTTAAGCATCACGTTTACAGCAAACGACTAACGGTAGAGCTGAACCAATGACCTAAGAATTTCGTGCCTGATCATGTGCTTTTGGCAGTCATTGAGAAAACGACTTTTATGGCAACTCCAAAATAACCCACTCTTGAAACTGTAACGGTAAACACCCAAAAAAGCAGGTCACATGATCTTTTCTGCCGTTTGCCGTTTGCCGTGGACGTCATGCTTAAGCTCTCTAATAGCTTGTCACAAACGGCATTGCTAAAAAGCTGCTTTGAAGTTGTGCAGTTGGGTTGGTTAGGTAGCTTTGCATGAAGTAGAACTCWAACCTTTTCCTTTTCCCAAAGAAATAACGTCATTGCCATGCGCATCAACCTTCCATCAACTCCCCACCCACTCCCCACTAGTTATCATTGTTTACCTGATTTGTAGTGACAAATCCAACAAGCATAGGGCTAAGRAAACCTGCTGTCGTCCCCAATGTGTTACAAACACCCATAATAACACTAGCACAACGAGGCGCTATATCAAGCATATTGACCGTGTACGCCGGGTAAGAGATCGAAGTTGTTGCCCCTGATATGGACATGCATACTATAACGATAATGACGCTGTTWGTGTAGCCAGCGACTAATATGAAGACACCTGT